CCAAACCCCTCAATCCCAGCCTGGAGCACTCTCCTGCACTCCAAACCGGTCAGCCCCAGCCCCATCCCAGAGCCTGTACCCCCAGCCAGAGCCTGCATCCCTTCCCGCACCCCAATCCCCTGCCCCAGCCCTGATCCCCCTCCTGCCCTCTGAACCCCTCAGTCCAGCCCAGAGCACACTCCTACACCCCTCATCCCCAGACCCACCCCAGGGCCCGCACCCCCAACCAGAGCCCTCACCTCCTCCCGCACCCCAACCCCAATTTTGTGAGGATTCATGGCCCGCCATGCATTTCTATTCCCAGTTGTGGCCCTTGGGCCAAAAGATTTGCCCACCTCTGATCTAGGGGAAAGCCACAAATGATCTCCTTGGCTTCCCTTTCTTCAGAGTCAGCCTTCTTCATTGGTACCGATGGGTACGGCACCAACATACTAACAAGAAGCTTCTTCATCAAACTCCTAGCCGGTCCCATCCGAGGGGATATGTCACCTGCCTGCCCTGGTTTCAGCCTCAGTTCCAGCTGGGACCTTTGGGCTATGCATAATTGGAGACCAGGCTGCGCCAGTGGCCCTTTTGGAACCATGAGACTTCCTCTCTCAATCAAGAGTATCCCCCTGGGCACCTCAGCTGACTCCATCTTCTGGGCATCAGGAGCATTTACACCTCAAACACCATAGTGTTGGTACCAAGCCCCGCACCAAGCAGTCAGGATCTCTCTCACGAACAGCTGCAAGAGGAGCAGGAACTGGATCAGCCTCTGGTACCATTGGCAGCCTTGTCCTCATCCCCGGATGAGCCAATTGTGGTAGAGCCTATTTCTTCATCTCTTGATGATTTTAAGACTCATCAGGAGTTGTTGAGGATGATGGCTATGACCTTAGATATCCACCCAGAGGACATCCAGGAAAAATCCCACAAACTGGTGGACATTCTGACATCTGCAGCTCTGGCTAGAATAGCCTCATATAGATATATCCAGTAGAGCTATCTTAGATCCTACCTAAGTGCTCTGGCAGACTCAACTTCCCTGCCTCCAACTGCAAAAAGAGTGGAGAGATGGTATTATGTCCCCTTCTAGGCGTTCGCACACCTATATAACCATCCTCCTCCAGGCTCCCTTGTAGTCGCAGCAGCCGGTGTAAAAGAAAGATGGGGCACCAGGCATCAGTGCCAAAAAATAAAGAGGACAAAAAGCTGAATTTATGTGGGAGGAAGCTTTATTCCACAGGTGAATTACTGTTTCGTCCTGCAAACCAGCAAGCTTTGTTGAGGCACTACAATTTCATCCTGTGGTATATAGTTTGAAGTTCAAAGACAAACTTCCAGATGAGGTGAAACAGGAGTTCCAGCCTCTCATAGAGGAGGGGAAGTTGGTTACCAGAATAACTTTGCAGGCAGGTCTCAATGCAGCAAATTCTGCAGTGCACCGCCTGACCTCTGCTATCACGATGAAGCCCTCATCCTGGTTACACTCTTATGGCCTCCTTCCAGAGGTGCAACAGACAGTCCAGGACTTACCTTTTGAAGCGCCGTTGCGCTTCACAGAAAAGATGGATGAGACTCTGCGAAGTTTACACCCCTGCAAAGAAGTGGAAGGGGTTTTATCCTCCTCAGTCCCAGTATTTTCAGGGATTTGTCCCTTGACCCCAAGACCTACCAAGGAGAAGGAGCAGAGGTTACAAATGATGCCCACCACTGCCTCTGCTTCCACAGCCACTAGTTCATTGAGGCAGGCAGCATCTTCCAAGAGCTCATTTTTATGGGTGGATTTAGAGCAGTCCATCACTTACAAGAGTACCATCTTTTTCTTTTCCAGCTTTTTCAAACTGCCTGTCCCACTTCTGTTGTGCTTTGGCCCATGTCCCAACAGATCGGTGAGTTCTAAGCCTGGTGGAAGTGGGAATATACATTCCATTTTATTTCTACCTCTAACATCCTTCCCCATCTCACTTCAGGGACCCTTCCCAAGAGACAGTATTACTGCAAGAGATATAATCACTTCACCTTGTAAAAGCTATAGAGGAGGTTCATCCTTTATTCAGGGGAGAGGTGTTTTACTCCTAAAACTTCCTGATCCTGAAGGTAAAAGGGGGGTCTCTCACCTATTTTAGATCTAAGGCAGCTAAACAAGTTCCTAAAAATAACCGAAATTCTGGATGGTCAGTCTAGCTTCTATTATTTCTTCTCTGGAGCCAGGAGACTGGTACACTGCCTTTGACTTAAAGGATGCCTAATTTCACATGGCAATTCATCAGAGCCACAGAAAAATTCTGAGATTCTTTGTCAGCCGATGCCTTTATCAGTTCATAGTCCTCCCCTTTGGTCTCTTGGCTGCTCCAAAGTGTCTGATGATGGTAGCACCATTCCTCCAGAGGTTAAGGATCTAAATGTTCCCTTCTCTGGACAACTGGTTGATAAGAAGTCGATCTAGGGCGCAGGTGGTGCCCAGCATTCACATAATCTGATCCACCTTTGATGCTCAAGGCCTGCTGATCAACACAGACAAGTCAGTCCTGTTGTCAGTACTGAAAATAGAATTTATTGGAGTGATCCTGGACTCAACAACAGCCAGGGCCTTACTACCACAGGCGAGGTTTCACACAATGCAAAGCCTCATTCTGCACTAAAAGGCTTATGCTCTCATCATGGTGAGAAACTACCTAAGGCTGCTGGGGCATATGGCAGCGTGTACTTATGTGATTCAGTATGCCAGACTGCATCTCAGACTCCTTCAGGGCTGCATGGCCAAGGTATATACTCTTCAAGAAGGCATCTCATAGATATGTTAGTGCATGTATCAAGTCACATGTTGTCCTTCCTAGATTGGTGAATAGAACCGACCAATGTCTGCAAGTGAGTTCCTTTTACCCCACTTCAACGATCTCTTACATTAGTCATGGATGTCTTGGACCTGGGGTGCTGGGCTCACCTTGGACCCCCTTCAATGCAGTGTCTCTGGTCTCCACAGGATCTCAGTCTACACATAAATATGAGGGAATTGCTGGCTATCTGTTTCGCTTGCATGGTGTTCCTTTCTCACATCCAAGTAGGAAGCGGCATATTGTTGCTGACTGACAATATGACTACCATGTTTGACGTAAACAAGCAGGAAGGAACCCGGTCCTCACTATTCTATCGAGACACAATCTGGCTCTGGGACTTGTGTATCAGTAACTATACTTCTGAAAGTAGCCCATGTCCCAGGGACTCAGAATATAATGGTAGATCGACTGAGCAGGTTGATCACCACGAGTGGTCCCTTTACCCAGACATAGCAAGGTCAATTTTTTAGTTCTGGGGGCAGGACACAACCCAGGTTTGTTGACAGATGCTTTTCTACTGCTGTGGTCAGAAGGTCTGCAGTACACTTTTCTCCCCTCTCCCTCTTTTGCCCAGAGTTGTCTGCCAGGTCAAGCAGGACATGGCCCATCTTATACTGTTTGCCCCAGCATGACCCCGTCACTACTGGTTTTCACAGCTCTTGGACCTCTCAATCAGTCCCCCACTGTTACTCACACTTCATGCAGACCTATTTTCGGAGAATCATGGCCACCTCCTCCATCCCAACTTTCAGGCCCTTCACATGATAGCCTGGAGACTTCATGCTTAACATTGGCAAAGGAGTCCAGCTCTGGAAAGGTGTAGAAGGTAGTGCTGACTAGTAGAAAACCATCAATGAGTAGGGTTACCATACGTCCTCTTTTTCCCGGACATGTCCGG